TGGGTTTCCACTGTTAATGGCAAATTAAATACTCAGAAGGTAGCTTTCTCTTCCTTTCTGGTCTGCCTCTCTATTGTAGCAGATGAATCACCCCCAAACTTTATGGCTTAAGATACAGCACTCGCTTTAGGACAGTCATGTGTTACTTGATGATGGAGATACCTTTTGAGAAATGCGTTGCTAGGCAATTTTCATCATTGTTTGAACATCACAGAGTGCACTTTCACAAACAGAGATGGATGGCACAGCCTACTGCACACCCAGGCTGCATGGTGCCGCCCATGGCTCCTAGACAGCAGGTTAATGTACTGAATGCTGTAGGCAATGGCAACATAAGGGTGGGTATTGGTGTAGCTAAACATTTCTAAATATAACAGGTACAGTAAAAATGTAGTACAGATCAAAGATCAATAATGGCATACTTGTACAGGGCACTATGAAGGGAGCCTGCAGGACTAGAAATTGCTCTGGGTGAGTCAAATATAAAGAGTGAATCTGAGGGCCTGGGGTATCACTGTACAGTAGACTTTATAAACACTGTCACTTAGGCTACACTAAATTCATTTATTGAGACAGAACCTCAAGCTGCACCCTGGGTAGAGTGCCATGGCATTATAGCTCATAGCAACCTCCAACTCCTGGGCTCAAGTGATTCTCCTGCCTCCGCCTCCCAAGTAGCTGGACTACAGGTACCTGCCACAACCCTTGGCTACTTTTTTTTTTTTTTTTTTGGTTGCAACCATCATTGTTTGGCAGGCCTAGGCTGGATGCGAACCCACCAGCTCAGGTGTATGTGGCTGGCACATTAGCCACTTGAGCCACAGGTGCTGAGCCACTAAATATATTTTTTAAAACCTTTTTAAACAACAAATTAACATTATCTTATTGTGACTTTTTTACTTCTGTAAGCTTTAAATTTTTTAAAACTTTTTGACTCTTTTGTAATAACATTTAGCTTAAAACACATTATACAGATTTACAAAAATATTTTCTTTACATCCATAAATAAGCCTTTTCCTATTTAATTTACATTTCACACTTTAAACATTTTTTATCACAAATGAAGACATGAACACACACAACATTGGCCTATGCAGGGTCAGGATCATCAATGTCATTGTCTCCTACCTTTACATCTTGTCCCACTGGAAGGTCTTCAGGGACAGTGGCAGGCATGGAGCTGTCATCTCCTATAGTATCAGTGCCTTCTTCTGAATACTTCCTGAAGCACCTGCCTCAGGCTGTTTTAGAGTTAGCTTTTCTAAAAATATAAGTAGAAGTAATACACCCTAAATAAAGGTAAAAAGAATAGTATAGTAAATATATAAGCAAGTAGTATAGTCATTAATTATTAAATATTGTATATCAAGCATACAGGCCGCCCTGGGGATATTGATGAGAAAGGTTCTATAGGTTGTTAAATTGAATTAGTATGTAAGTTGAAACAGGAATGGATACAGTACCTATTACCTGTAATAGCCCCTGTTCATAAGTGCGAGTCATACTTCAAGTGGATGTTTATAACTTGGGGACTGCTTGTAATCATATGTGCTATACTTTATATTACTGGCTGTATGGTAGGTTTGTTGACAACAGCATCACCATAAAAACGGGAGGAATACATACTAATGATGTTATGATGGCTGGGATGTCACCAGGTGATACAGATTAACGTGTTGTTATGTATTACCTCTCACAGTATCTGTGGGTCAAGGAATTCTGGAGTGGTTCAGCCAGGTGATTCTGGCTTAGGGTTTCTCATTAGTTACCTCACTCTCCCCCGGTCCTCTCACATGGTCTCACCAACATGGCAGCTCCAGGTTATCTGCTTTTCTATGTGGCAGCTCCAGGCTCCAGTGAAAGTGCTGAGAAAGGGAGTGCCTCTCTTTCCTTGCATCTTTTAACCCAGCCTCAGAGGTTCTGTGGCACTGCTTCTGCAACCATCCTGTTTGTCCAGGCAATCTAAAGGCCTGCTTAGGTTCAAGGGAAATGGGTACAGACCCTACCTCTTAATGGCAAATATGTCAAATAAAGAAATTACAGGTCTATTAAAACATACTTTCCACATGTGCATCTAGACACCATTCCTGCTGTCTAGCCCAGATCTCACCTCCTGCTGGTAGTTTAGAACTCGTGCTAACCTGTCATATGCTGATTCCCTCCAAGGCCAAAGCTGAAGGCTGTAAAGTCCATAAGAGCCTGTGCTAGCCTGAGGGGCCTGGTGGTGGGATGGAAAGCCTTTTCTCACTATCATTATAATTAATTCCCATTTTCTAGCCTCTCCTCACTATCAATATAATTAATTCCCATTTTCAGCCCATGTTTTGAGTTTCTCATCATTCTGTGGTCTGTGAGTAGAAGATTACAAAGCATGGAGGCTCAGAGAGGTTAAGTAAGTTACTCAAACTCCCACAGCCCCAGTTGTGTGGGTTTGGGGGATGAAAGGTTGGACAGAGATTTGAGACCAGATCTGTTGCACTTTGAACCCATGAGCTCCTTGCCCTTCTCTTGGGCAGTGTGTTTCAGAGGTGGGCAACAGAGCCCAGCTGAGGAGTAGGGGCCCCTTGTGTCACTTTGCACACAGATACTGTGAAAATAGTTTTCATAGAAATGTCGCAAAGGAGAGGAAGCCCAGCACGAAGAGGCTGCTCTTGGTGCCAGCACTCTATTTTTACCTATAGAAAGATACCACAATAACAGGAGTGTCATGGGGATCCCAGGATTTGTCTTTAGGTGCAAAGTTTGGGGCCAGGGCAGTCAGCTTCTATTGGTGAGTTAAAATTTCAGAACAGAGGTAGGGGGAGAATGTACTTTGACTGATTGTTGTAATAACAGCTGCCACAACTGAGCATTTAACAAGTGGCAGATAAGTGCTGTGTGTACATCCTCTCATTTAACCCTCCTAGAAACTCTTGAGGTCCAGACTGTCAGCCTCATTTTGTAAATGGAAAAACCTGGCCCCAGAAATGAAGTGAATTGGCATTAGGTCACCAGTAAGCTGTGGGGCAGGGATTCAAACCTAGGGCCACCGGCCTCTGACACTTGGCTCCCAAACACTGACTCCATGCCTGGGATAACCCCACAGCACACCCTGCCCCCGCCACATCCTCAGAATTTTAGTGGCACACTTCGTGCCTTTTTTATATAATAAATACTAATTGAAAATATCAGTGCCACAGCCACTGGCACAGCTGCTGACATACCATGCTATGTCCTAGTAATTGAAGCCACAGTTGCATTGTCATATTCACAGTTGTCAAGGTCCCCAAACATCCATCCCAATTCAGACAGGCGATGAGGATAAAGCTTATGATGACTGGGAGCTTCTAGATTTCTGTCTGCTGATTTCTCATCCGTGCATGGGCAACCCTTTATTTTCCTGTGTAATGCTTGCTCTTTTTTTTTTTTTTTTATTAACCAGCACTCACATTAGTCTGAGAAGTCTAAATATTTCTTTTCTCTATCATAGTTATGAGACAACTCTGATGGCTGCTTTAGCTGTTAGAAAACTGGCTGAGAAAGGGAGGGGTATGCAGGTGAGGTTATTCAAGGACTCGTTTGATTTTTATTTCTGTATTATTCTGACATCAGGAGGGTAATCTTTCCTCAAAGTTGATTTTTTTTCCCCATTAAAAGTGCTAGAAACTGAAAATTGCTCCCCTGATCCTTTAGGCAACTGTATAACTCATTTATCTGAGGCATAATAAATTCTAAAATAGAAACTTTAGGATTTGACTAGGAAAATCAAAGAACAGGTGAACATTTGTCTCATCCTTGGGACAGTGGCCTCTTAGTACATAGATGTGTTCTGGAGGGCAGGAAATCTAGTTTACAGATACCTTGTTGACTCTCCAAGGGCCAGAACCCAAAAGAGTTTGTCATATGGCAGAATATATGGGGATGAATTACTCGGCATTCATTCTTGAGAACTGTAGCACATCCCGTCTTAGATGATTTTGGTGAACACAGAAGATTCATACAAATGTTCACAGGCTCAATGCTGACTTCAGTTTTGCCTCCCCCTGGTTTCTCCCAACCATCCTGCCCCCTCCATTCTGACCAAGTGCCACCACCAAAAGGCTTTCAGCTTCTCTGTAGCCATGTCTCCCCTTTGGGGCCACTTTTTGGTGCTTATACCTCCAAGCTGAGGCCAAGTAACTCAGCTGTCTTTATTTAATGTGTGAGGTACCTCTGCTGTGTGCCAGGCATGTACTCTGCTATGTTGGGTTGTGGAGTTAATAGGATATAGAGTTTGCACTCCGGGAGTTTGCAAACTAGCTAGAAAAATGGACAAGTTACATCTTGTCAGTCGGCATCTAGCTATGTACCAAAGTCAGTTAAGATACTTTTGGTTTCAGGTGATAGGAAATTCAACTCAGACTGCTTTAAACCAATATATAAAAGAGACAGGATAGAATAGCTCGTGTAAGTTCAAAATACCCAAGCATCTGGCCTCAGTGCTCACAGGAGAGCACCAGGATTCAGACTCTTTTCATCTGCTGGTTCTTCTCCTGGTGGCAAGATGGCTCCTGGCAGCCCTGAGCAGTTTAGCAATCCCAGTGGATAGAGAGATATTGGGAATATGAGTTATGTATGCATCTCTGAAACAATTGCTGTGGTCAGAGGGGTTGAAAATACTTACAAGCTTGGCCTGGATCAGATACCCATCCTGGGAGCTGGGAAGAGCCATTATCCCCCATCTTGTACGACAAGGTCTGAGAGTTGGTGGAGGGGAGACTCCCACAGAAAACTTTGTTACCCGAGGAAGGGGCCACAGAAGCCAGGCAGTTAAGCATAACAGAGTTCTACTATATGCATAATGAATGGTTTATTCCATACAGTATCCTTAAGGTTAGTTGGGCATGCTCGAGGGATATCATTAATCACTGAAATTGCCTTCTCCTTGACAAGCAACATCCCTCCAGTCCAAGTTAGTCTGGATAGAATAGACCATAAGTGTAACCTGCCAAAACCTGACCTGAATTTGCTCTCTATTGCAGTGACCTGGACAGAAATAATATCACCAGGATCTCCAAGATGGATTTTGCTGGGCTCAAGAATCTCCGAGTCTTGTAAGTAGTAGATGGCTCTCCAGTGCATATTTTCTTTTTCAGTTCTTTAGCTCTGCCAAAAAAAAAAAAAAAAAAAAA